TGAGGTTGTAAGCTATCTATAATTACATCAATTTATATGATAATGAAGAATTTATAAACTCTATGAGCCGAATGATTTCTAAATACCAACAAAGTTGAAGCAAAAGGTCATAACTCATAACAAAAATATCTATAATTACATCAATTTATATGTTCTTTTTGCTCCTATTAGGAGCAAGGCATAATTTAAACCTCCGATAATTTGTTGAGTTGTAGTTGGCTTCGTTATGTTGGATTGAGTTGATGAGTTTTAACAGGTCGGGGATGAAAGCGGGAAGGCGAAGACAGCTCCGATGAAGATGAAAGTTCAGTTTATGCTGCAAGTGCCTCAAGACGACATCAAATCAGCAGCGCTTATGTTCCGAGTGAAGAAGAGGTGGGATATATAGTCACTCTCTAATCGCGGGATTGTGTTGTGTCTCCTCCTTTTAACATACACTTGATGTGAATAATATGTGATAGTGTAGTTTTGTTATAATGATGTTCTATTGCTACATAGATCAATTGGTAAGTTAATTTTTCCATAGCTAATTGTTGCTGATTTTTTGTTTTGTTTTGTTCTGTTTTTTTCTGGTATCTTCTCCTGTTTTTGTTTTGTTAAGCTTGAGTTTATCTTTTATCTTATTTTTTACTTTCTTAAAAATTATTTTATGAAATCTAATAAATATTTAATTTTTTTTTATAAGAATAATAAATATAAAACCAATAATCACAAAACCATCTTAAATTTAATGTTTGATTTTCTTTTTAGATATATTATCTTATAGTAAAAACGTAATTAAAATATTAATTATTCAACTAATGGATAATTTACAAAATCTGATTATTTTACAGGGTGATTATAAAAAAAAAAAATTTATTCACGTATAACTTTGTTTTCAAAATTAATAATCTAACATTTATATAATAAATAAATTTATCAATTCTATAACAAATATAAAAATAATCAAACATGCGAAATAATTAAAAATAAAAAAATGATTTTTTAAACATATATGATAAATATCAGTAAGAATATAAGAATAACTAAGGAGTGTGATTATATATTATACACATAAATAATTAAAAATATATTTTAATATAATTTAAGGATTAATCTATTACATGTTGTCATGATTTTAGATATTTTATTATGTTTAAAAAATAATAATTTCAATAAAATATTTATATTTATCTTTATAAAATGATAAGAATATTTATTTTTAAGAAATTTTTTTTTAGAAATTCCAAATTCCAACTGCCTTTTAAAAAAGACAAGTCAAAATTCTACTTAAAAGTGCAGGAGTAAAAATTTCAGAATAAAAATAAAAATAAAAAAGTAACTTTTTAAATTTTTTATTTTATTTATTTTATTATTTAATAAAAAGGTTATTAGCCTACAGACAGGAGCATATATAAACCGATAAAAGCCTTGCGGCGGCGTCCACTCTTCGTCTCTCACTCCATTCTTCTACTCCCCCTTTTTCTTTGTTGATAATTCCAAGAAGAAGAAAAAAAAAAAACAATTAATCAAAAAGGTAGAGAAAGGAAGAGAGAAGGATCTGCTGGAATGAGTACAGCCATATCTTTGAGGCTTCTTTTGCCTCTCGCCACTGCGACTTCTCCTCTTTCTTCTTCGTCTCCTTCTTCTTTCTACTCTTCTTCAGATTCTTTCTCGAAATCCCTCAAAACACCAAACCCTAATTTGAACAACATCCATTATGCTTCCTCTTATTCCTCTCCCCATTCGCATTCTCAGCTCACGTGTTTTCTTGGGAGAAAAAGAACATCCATTTCCTCCAGATACATGGTATATCTTTCTATCTTTCAATCGCACGCCTATATACTTAATCTCGCACTGTATAGTTCGCTTGCTTTGCAATTGAATTTGAGAGTTTTGTCTTTTCCGTTCTACTATTGAGTTTTGTTCCTTTCTCGCTCTTTTCAGCTTTTGTTGTTTGTAGTTTTGATTTTATGAAATAATAAACCGTCTGGTATTTGGTCAGTTGAGATGTGTGTACAAGATGAAGATGGGTCTAGAACTTTTTGATGCTTGGAAATGGCATTTTGTCATTTGCGTTTTATCTCTTTAGGTTTTCTGTTCTTAATAAGTTATCGATTTAGCTTGCAGATTCCATTCTTTTTTGTAAATTGTGTACCGTTAGATGAACAGGCGTACTTCCGAATTGCTTTATGTAAAGACCCTTAAAAAATTGAGATTTCTTGCAATGTCTTCTGTGTGTTATCGTTGTCAGTGGTGGCTTTATTGATAATGTTCTCTACTTATTTGATATTGAGGACCTTCAGATGTTTAGTGCTTTATTTGTATATTCTGTTTCTTTTACTTTAAAAAAAGCGTTTATTTTGCCCCAGATGTTTATACAGGAGTAGAATCATTACTTTATTGAATTTTAAACTAGTCCCTTGTTTTTGTTTTAATGTCTATAGTGAAACGTATATATTTGTGCATGCATGTAAAATATCTATGTATATAGACACAAGCGGGCGGAAAGGCCGGAAAGGTAATGCATAGTAATTTCATGCTAAAAAAAGTTGAATTAGGATTTGAGAGAGTTTCTTTTTGCCGCACTTATTTACTTTCTCCTTTTTCCGGACAGATTCAGATTTTGGTGTGGTGTGGGTTTAGACAGTGTTAAGGTCGTATGTATAAAACATTTTTAATCAACCATGGACAGAGCTCTATGAATGATATAATGAGTTTATCAGCCCTGATCTGTACGCCTGTGTAGTATAGCATGGGTCATCCCAACACCTGTTGTCCACATTTGTTTTTGAAATATTGGTCCATTTATCATGTGCGGCAAAATGGTTGCTTGCTAATTACTAAACTGACTAGCTTAATAATTATATTAAATTAGTAAAGATATGGAAAACAGAAAAGTAACCGATGTTTGGATCTGACAGTACCAGGTCATAATCAAAAGGAAAACACCCCAACCAACATCACTTAACATAAATGCAGCCGCTTGAGCCATTCCAGAAAAGGAAAAAAATTCACACTGCTTTGTGAAATAGGTTCTTTTAGAATAAAATTTGAACTGCTATTGATTGTGCAGTCTGAATGATCCAACTGCATAAGAATCCTTTTAATGCCATAGAAAAACACCCATTGCTTTGTTTTCAGCTAACATAAAAAGCGCAACTCTGAGTAGAAGTGATAGGATTGCCTCCAAATATATAATTTAAGGTCTTAATCTCAGTAAGATCTTTGGTTATTCTTACCGTCTAATCTTTGATACTTTACCAAGAGCATCGAGCCCTATTTTCTTGGAATTAATTACGTTTCTTGTTTTTCTATCTTATATCATCACATTGGAAAAATAACTAGCCTTGTGTCTATCTTACTTCTTCATTTGCTTTGAGATAAGACAATATTCTAATTATTTTCTCTTGGTCATGAACTGCTCCCATTGTATAGTCAGATAGCACATACGTTTGGGCCCTGCTTTTGGTTCAATCACTCTAGTTCTTCAAACAATATTCTATATATTTATTTGGGTTTTTTATTCTAAAATCATAAGGCGATACTATATTACTCATTAGGACCTTTGCAAATTGGAATTTTTTGTAATAGAAACAGAAGTATTATTAGGTAAAGAAAAGGAATTCAGCAACATAGGACCAGATGTTCTCTCAAAAAGAAGAGAGTAGGCCAACATCCCCCAACCAAGGAAAGCCAATCATCTCTATGCAAAGAAGATAAAGAATAATCTTTAAAATGCTCTTGTGCTTTAGCCGAGAAAGAAGTCAAAAACTACAACCTGCCCAGAGAGAAGAAAAAAGAGCTACAATCCTCAAAATCCTTGCATTTCAACCATAACACTCACAACCCAACAAAGAGAGTCCCCCTTAGTCTCCTTATTCCTACCAACACAGTAAAGAGTAAAGGAAAGAAAATCCTCTCGATGAGAAGCAATATAAAAAATAATTACAAATGAGAAGGAACTGTATTAATACTTAGCTTTTAATGCTTTCTAGTCTAATATTTTGCTTCCTGCTAAACTTTTAGTATTTACCAAGAGCAGCAAACCCTAATTTCCTGCAAATAATTTCATTTCTTGTTCTCTTGTTTCTTATATCATCACATTGGAAGCATATCAGCCTTATGGTTGTCCTATTAACTTCTTTCACTTGAATATTTTTCAATAACAACATGAAATTCCAGATACTTTCTCTGTTTTGCAAATTATCCAATTCTTTTACCATGAAAACATGTTCAGTTTTTATCTAATCACCAGTTTCTTGTAACTGCATTCAATGCTTTGTGGATCTCTTTATTCTAGAGGCACAGGGCTTTTACATATTCAATACTACTTTTCCAGTGTCAGAATTAATTTCTTTTAAGATAACCAATATGAATTAAATCACAAAGGTGAAGATTGATATCAGATTAGACCTCTTTATGCAAACTGAAAAAGGTACTTTTTTGAAATCATATGCTACATTGTCCAGAGATATTTTACACTCAAAATGTTGACAAGTTATAACCAATAAGCTCAGTAGATCAGTGCCATATTGGTATGCCTTTCCTGAATATTTAGAAAGAACCATTTAGAGGATGGATTACACCTTTAGAAGTGGAAGAGTAGGAAGTGAATCTTGGACTGAAGGAAAACACTGATGGGCTTTTAAGTTCAGTCTGCAATATTCGGCGATAGAGTGCAAGGAAAAATGAACTTTTATGCTTATTGCATGAGTGTTTCAAATAGCTTTTCTGTTTGAAGGGACATAAAGCCTTTGACATTACATGGTGGAGCTTGTTTGGTTACTGGTTTTCATATGCAGTTGTTTTTCACTAATGATTTACTACCAGGGGCTCTGTTTTTGTGTACTGGTATAGTGGCTATGTAAACATAAGAGAGGAGATTATGACATGGAGGATGCTTGGAGAGACGAAGATGAGAACGTGGCATCCATGTTTGGTTCTGATGAAGATAGTGGCAGTCAGATTCCTACCCAGGCCCAATCTCTTGTTGAAGGATCTGGAGCAGTTATGGTGTCAGAGTTAAAACCTATTGCTGACGTGGATTATCTACAGGTGTGAAATCTTTTTAATTTTGAAAATACAGGCGCATAACTTTGCTTTAAAAATTGCTATTCAGTTGTCATGATCTTTTTCTCTCCGTTCATTTATGTTGAGGCCGTTCAAAAAAGGATTGTAGATTCCCGTCCTGTTTATTAAAGTCTATGCCATGTCTGGAACACACAGCAATGGTGGTTCAAGCAATTGAAAATTCCTTGAGTCTATTTTGACTTTTGAGCTGTGCTCTGTCCTGTGCACTGGGAATCTATTTATTGCCCCAGAAGATTATTAATATAAAGTCTGGGATCCAGCATCCTGTAAGACGCCTGTACATGATTGTACATGCCACCATATAGGCGAGATATTTATTTAATCGAATTAAGATTGTTAGGGAAAAATGTTTGACCTGTTTTTGATGTTTGCAGTATCACATGTAAATTGCCTTCAGTCAGATTATGCTACATGATCTATACTTTGGGTCCAGAGTCTTGCAATTTGTGAATAATCATGATTGCTATCCTCATACCCTTCATAGGTGGCACTGTTCCAATTAACCCCTAATTTTGCCTACATATGTTTCGAGCAGGAATTGTTGGCTATTCAACAGCAAGGGCCTAGATCTATTGGCTTCTTTGGGACTAGAAACATGGGGTTCATGCATCAAGAACTTATCGAGATTCTTAGCTATGCTATGGTGATAACTGTAAGATGTTTAAACTTCAAGCTAGTTATATGCATGCTTCTCATTGTATATACACAGCACTATACCATGTTCCTAAAAATTTTGAATAACACTTGCATGCAGAAAAACCACATTTATACTTCAGGTGCATCTGGGACTAATGCAGCTGTTATTAGAGGTGCATTAAGAGCAGAGAAACCTGAGCTACTGACAGTTATATTGCCCCAAAGTTTGGAAAAGCAACCTCCAGAGAGTCAGGAATTATTATCAAAAGTAAGGATAATTATTTAGGCCATTTACTTCATTCCACCCTTTTCTAATTCTGATGCTTTTTCTTCTTTTATCCAATCCTAACTTCTTTATTGAATTGATTGGAACAACTTTTAGACCTCCACGGTTAAAAATGTTAGTTTCATATTATGGATTTTTCATAAATTTGAACAATATTTGAACCTCCCATGAGATTCTATTCTCCTATTTGAAGGGCTTATTTCACCATATGTTGTAATGTCTGATTAAAGAAGCTTAAAAAAGGTAAAATGATCCAAGTCTTCTAGGTGGGTATTAAATTTGATATGTTAGACTATTGAATGGAATATTTGCTTCTAGTGTAATAGTAAACTGAATTTTGAACATAAGGGCTCAGTAACTGCAGTTTGAGTCTTTGACAGTTTCTATACATATTTCTACCTCGTGAGCAATTAAAGTGCTACTTGCATTTTTGGTTTGTGATAAAAGGATGGGATCCAAACTGTACTTAAGCATTTATTTGAAAGCCTGAATAAGATTTATCTGGATTTTTTTTCCAAAAAAAAAAGGAAAAAGAAGATTTATCTGGATTTTATGTGTATTATATTTTGTTATTTTGTTGACATATACAGGTGCAGAATGTGATAGAGAAGCCTCAGAATGATCACTTACCCTTGATAGAAGCCAGCAGGTTTGTGATAGTCTTCCCAAGTAACTCTATGTTTTTCCCATTTGCCTTTCTAGTTAGAAATATAATAGAACTTTTGAGAGAGAAAAATATAACTGAATTAGGAAAATGTGGTTCGAATAATAATTAATTAAGTTGAGTGGGTATAAGTTCTAGTAATTAGGAACTTAAAAATTGGATTGTACAGATTTAGCAACTGGACCTGCAAATAATAGAAAAACACACTAAGTAATGCATAAAAAATTATCAGGATTTGTAAATCTTCAAGTCACTTCCAGATTTTATTTTAGTTTTAGTGCATATGCTTGTTCATATGGTGTATGGACATTATATTTTTAAGCTACTAAAAGAACTTAATCAAGCTCATAAGCTTGCATCTTAAGGCCTTTATTTTTGAAAGAAATTCTTTAAGAATTTTTTTTGGGCCACGAAGTCCATGGTCTGAAACCAATGTTTCCAAAGGTAGTTTTAGTCACAACTCAGGACAGGGGCCTGGTCAAGGTTCCAGGGTGACAAGAGAAGGAGAAAACTTATTTTCTCTCATTGCTTGGCTACTTTATGGAGTTTTTTTTTTTCTTTTTTTTTTTTGAAATAAAAAATGTAAAAGTATATTGATAGGCACCAAGTGGGTGCCACCCATGTACAACACATTTACAACGTAGTAATAGTATCTATGACATATTTGCTTCCACGATATGTACAACATATTTGCTTCCACGATATCACCTCCATATGAAGTCTATTTGCCAAGTCCGCCCTCAAATCATTTCTCTTGGTTTTCTCCTCCAAGTTGAGACCCGATTCCCCTTCCAGTTAATCCAGAGCGTTGTAGCAATTGTAGATATGCTCATTGACATGTAATTACTTTTGTACATGGGAACACCTCCTTGGTGCCATTTACTTATTATAAGTCCTCTCTTTTATTTCAAAAGAAAATGGTATCTACGACATTCCCAGGCTACTTCATGGGTTATTTGGAAATGGAGAAACTGAAGAGCTTATGGAGATGTAACTTCCTCTTTTCTTAAGCTAGAAATCGTGTGTATTTTGTTGAAGGGTAGCCACTAGCTCTCTTACTTTTGATGAGGACTTAGGGAACCTTACTAATATTTTGATAACTGGTAAATGTCTCTCTTTTTATACTTGGATGGACCCCAATGGTGCCTTATTAGTCTCTTTTTCTCTCATAAAAAGGTAGCACCTGTGACAAGGCTGGTCTCAAATGCTTGAAATTTTTTGGTTTTATATACTTGGTTGGAATAAAAAGGACTATTCTATAGCTTCTAGGGCAGACATTACTTTAGCCTTTAGGTGCATAATTACATTGCATCTCAACTTCTCTTGTAAACCAAGTAAAGAGAGTGCATGGAGTTACTTAGCTCCCTCTTATTCTCTCTCATACGATATCAGCTTCTTCAATGTCCATTGAGCTTCTAATCTGAAGATGAGAATGTATCACCTTGACATTCTTCTACAGAACTTGGAATGGACAAGTGTTTGGAGTTGTTAGGTCCTCACTTTTTGGCAATGGTTTGTCTGTTGATTTAAATCTATTCTGGTTTTCTTGTATTTTCATATTCTGCATAATTTTTCCTGAGTACAATTTTCCATCTTAACATTGCACAATTAGGGTATTCTTGGCACTTGATTAATCAAGTGTGGTCTGAAATGTGCAGCGAAAATTTGCTTGCTTTTGTGTGTTTTTCACGTTACAGAAACTGTCTAATAATTGATAGTGGTGAATTTGCAGGCTGTGTAATATGGACATAATTTCCCAAGTGCAGCAAGTAATTTGCTTTGCTTTTCATGATAGTAGGTTGCTCATGGAAACATGTCAAGAGGCTAAGAATCTGCGGAAAATTGTTACCCTATTTTACTTGGATTAGAACAATTAGTGGGAAACAAAGAGGAAAGTTGCTTGTAAATTGGGGGGGTTGGTACATCAATATTGGAGGTTCATCTTTTCTTTTGGTCAAACTTTAGCAATGGGAAGGTGGTCTATTAGCTCCTTTCATGGGTTCAATTTTTCTTGTTTCCTTGATAGATTAAATGAAAGTGTCATTTGTGTAGCATTTTTCGTTCTGTAGGACCTCCGGAAAATTGTTGCCCTATTTTACTTGGACAGAACAACTAGAGGGAAAGAAAGGGTAAATTTGTTTGTAAACTAGGGGGTACATTAACATTGGAGGTTCGTGATTTCTTTTTTGGTCAAAAGTTTAGCAATGAAAAGGTTGTCTATAGCTCATTTTATGGGTTCATTTTTTTCTTGATTCCTTGATAGATGAAATAAAAGTGTCCTTTATATAGCCTTTTTCATTCCATCTTGCAGAAGACATACGGAGGATACTATTAAGAAATTCCTTCAAAACGATCATTTGGTATTGGTATTGGTATTGGTATTGGTATGTCATTGTATATTTTGGATAAATAATATATGTACATATCATATATATCTGCTATTGGAGGCCTTGCCTCTTGCCCTTTGGTGTCGGTGACCAGTAGGCTGACCTACAGGAAGGTCTTTGGGCCTAATATATTTACCAGAAAAGAATCTTAAGTGCAGAGCTTTATGGTTGGGCCTATATTTGCACAAAGACCACAAGCTTTGGCGGCCTTTGAGCCCTAATTATCCAGGCTAAGGTCCAATATTAACATCGGCCGTTGATTTATTGGTCCTACTCGACCTTAAAATCCAGCCATCCAGCCTTAATTTCAGCCCAATAATGTATGTGCTTTTATTGCATGGACTACATGTTTGGGGGCCCTTGACCACAAATTACCCAGATAGAGGCCCAATATTCACCTTGGCCATTGACTTATTGGACCTGCTCGACCTGAAAGTCCAACCTTACGGCCTGAATTTTTGCCTGAGAAGGTTAAGGGCTTAAGGTACTTAGGAGCTTAGCTCAATAATCCAAGCCAAGGCCCAATTCTATTAAATAGATGCTTATTGGGCTTTTTGACCTGAATGTGAAGGCATGTACTCCAAGATTAGCCCAAAAATATTTAGAGCCTTGGGCCCAGTAATTGAATGCATCCACTCCAAACTTTTAAGCAGCATAGGGCCGACGTTTTGTAGCCGAGGCCTAATTTCATGTACGGTCCTTAATTTATTGGGCTGCTCGACCAAAAAGTAGAAGTACCGACCCAACCCAAGAATGTTAAGGGCACGGGTCCAATGCCTTGATGGCCAGATTTAGGCCCAATAATTTCCATAATTTAGCAGGCCTTCCACCAATTGATTTAGGAAGAGGCCGGATAATCCAAGCTAAGACCCAATTTCCGTCAAGGCTACATAAATTGGGCTTCCAGACTATTTATATTAAACTAAACAGGGAGGGAGCAGGACCATCCAGTTACGGGCACACCATAGCATTTTTGGGAGAAGAAAATTTCAGGAGAAGATTTTTCGGGTGTCTTACTTGAGGATCTTGACGTTTTAGTACGATTATTATTGTAATTGGCTCTACTATATCAAAATATAAAGAAATAAATAAATAAATTACACTTTCTATTTCTTATTTAATCAATACATTTCACTATGCATTTTCATTTCATATTCTTAGACAGCTTTTTTTTTTTCAACCATACAAACAAACTTATCTTTTAATATAGAATCACTTGTTATGTCATTATTTATTATTTTTTAAATCATGTAATTATCATGATACTCAATTTAACTAGTATTAACATCAGCTACGAGCCTGCCAAACTAAATTAAAATTAACATATTTTTCATGCAAAACATAAAATATTATTTTTAAAATATAACTAATTCAATTGTAATTATACTAAAATTTTAAAATCATCTACATAATTTACTCTTGAAATAGATATATTGTTCAATGAACAAAAGAATTTATGACTGGCAGAAGCATAGTCTGAATGTCGTTTTGATTACTCAAACTAGGCTACAAAATTTGTAGTCTTCTTCTATGTGCAAGCCATGGGATTCCAGACCATGACTTATTCCTGAATTTATTAACCCTTCTAATCTATTGAATACCTCAATATGCTGTCATTTGTTCAACCTGTCAGAGAAAAAAAAAAATTCTCAGCATTTGCTGCTCAACTGACAGTGTTGCATATTTGTTCTAACCTAGCAAACTTAAAAAATGCTTAAAGAACAAAGCTTAAACGAGAAAAAGAACCTCTATATTGACTTGCTTTAGATGTCAACTATCACCATCATCATCATTTTCATTGTCTCCATCACCATCACCATCACTGGAGAAACTGTCATCACTATCTTGTTCATATATTTGATACTCTTCATCCCCCGTGTCAGCATCTAGTATTTTATCAACACCAACATCACTTGCCGGAAAACTACCAAAGAGCTCTTGCAAGTATGTTCTTGAGTTGTTCTCCATATCTAGAACTGAACAATATATAGGAAATCTCATACAGGAAAAATAATAAGCAAATAATGTAACTAATTTGAAGAGACAGAATAATCTAGGTGATTGGCATTGTATATTCTGATTCAAAGCATGCAATAAAGCACCATCTCCATCATTATCTTTAAGGAAAGGTTTCTTCCCTTCCAACTTCCATCATTATCTTCCTTAAGCTTCACATGAGCCAACGCATGTCGGACCTCTTTGGTTTGCAAATCTAGTCCTTTAATCCATCATGTTGTTTATCTACTTTACACTTGCGGCAAAGGGCTCAATTAGTATAGAATAACAAACAAAAAGTTGTATGAGGCCTCTTTTTATGTCACTAACTAGTCAATCAATTTATTATTCGTACATTCTGATGATATAACATTGAAAAAGTAAAAATTGCGATGATTCAAGGATACATGAATGTGATGGTAGAGAGATCTCATCATAATCCTCGGCCTGCAAATAAGAGAACATGATATTATTAAAAAACAAAAGCATGGGATAAAAACAATATGGTGGTAAGAACTAATATTTTTTCCATCCAATCAACTTTGTAAGTCAGAGCAAGGTATAAACATAGATTACCAAATCAAGTTCTTCATATTCATCTAATTCCTCTTCATCCTCATCTACCTCAATCTCGTCCCCCATATCATTTACACCTTCAGGTTTCTCTTTATCTTCATTTTCTGTAAGGCCAACATACCAAAGCTATTTATAAATTTTAAGTCAACCAAACATGTAGGAGAGTAACATGGAATGTCTTCAAATAAAAAAACAAACAGATATCAGACAACCAGGTTTCATAAATAAGGGAGCGCAATAAAGAACACAAAGTGTAGTATTTTCGACCTCTATTGTTCTGTTGGTTTCCCCCTTGACATGGTTTTAGGACATATTTATAAATGCATGCCTTATTTGATTTTTCAAATTCTTCAGTAGTAGATCTAAGTATCTCTTCTACACCGTCCTTGGGATATATTGATAGAAACCTCACTGCTACACGGAGTCTCAATGTATCCAACATGCATTCTGAGAACCATCCTGTTTTCAACTGCAAATTTTAAGACACTAAATGTTATATTTTAAAGAGAATTTTTATGTTAGTATAATAAATAACTTGTTTCGCATATATATTCAATACATGTATAAAGGCAACAACTGGTGTTTCTGGGATCACATAATATAAAAAGAGAAATAATGAGGATAGCCACACAGTTTGAATATTTTGCCTAAATGTGAAAATGCAAAAATTAGAAAGCCCATGAGAAACAGGGGTGTAATCCATTTAGTGGAGATCTGCACATACGCCCATAAAGAGCAATATCCTCTTATGGATGCAGAGAGAGCTAAATTGAGAAGAAAAAGAAGTTGGTAAGAAGCCACATAAAGTAACATGGAAGATGTTTAGAAAGAAGAAAGGTTCTGTAATTACTTGATTGTCCAGAACCAATTCGCCTGATTATGTCCCCCAACCGAGGGGGTGGTGAGGTTCAAAGTTTACAGCTCCCATAAAAAAAAAAGAATTACTGTGATTGTCCAGAAATTCTAATTTTGTTTAGGATATGCAAGAGGTATTTGCAAGATTTAGGAGGCTTTGATTTTGACTAGGACTTGTACACTTTTGATCTAGTCATTTTATTGTGATATTTTCCTATTTGATTATAACTAGTGCCTCCATAAAGGCTGCGAATCTACACAAAAGAAAGGCAGGTAGGAAATAGGATCTGGATGATATTCTCAATCTAGAAAATTCTCCAGTTTTATCCATTCTCTTTAACTATTTTCTATGCAACCTCTTCCCTGTCCAGTTATGTCTTCAGCTTAATCCCCAACAGGCTCTAAATTCCTTCCAATCTTCAGTTTTCCCGAACCTAAATTCCCTTAGATTGATCATATCACAGAATTCTAATCAGCTGGTATTTTTTACTGCATCTGTGCCATATTGTATCATATTCTAACTTCTATTCCAATCTTTCCTACCTGAACAACTTTGGTGCTTTGGAGAAAAAGGAAATCTTTTGTTAAAAAAGACAACAAAAGAAGGCCTAAACATTAACTCTAGCTGTTGCTGATGCACTGATACTTCACCGTTTTGACACCCATCTCAAGCCTTAGGTCACGAACCTCATCACCAAAGCATAGAGGCTGTCAGGCCAAATCATCATGAGAAGAACACAATCAAAATCATTGCTTCCAGTAACCACAGCTCCTCCAGATCCATTGATTTCACAGCTCCTGCAGATCCATTGATTTCTGACATTACTAGTGCAAA